GGCTTTGGTCTTTGGAATTGGACTTTGGAATTTTATAAGAGATTCAACACAACTAGTTCCACCCCACCCCCCCACAAAAGACAGAAATGCATACAGAATCAGCACTCTTATTCTGCAGTTGATTGTACACCTACCGACAAATGAGAACACCAGATAATTCCGTAACCCACTTACAACCCAAGAGGCACACTGTTCCCACACAGAAACTTACAGCAATGATTCTTGCATTAAGGCATTTGAAGAGACTAAATATTTGCCATTATGAACTCAAAATCATTTTAGCATTCAAACATTAACTAAACCGAAGCACGACCTCACTACCAACCGAGACAAATATTCCCAATGCCAGTCTTCTTTCACATCTCTAAGAACGTGGCCACAAAGAATTATAGTGCCGACCCAAATGAACTACGTGATGCGCGGAAAGAACAGACCAGAGACATCACAGAACAAACTAGAAACCGAAACTCCCACATGGAAACATCCTCGCTACCAACTCGCTGCACATGAACTACATACGCCAGTCATGGCAGTAAGTTTCCTGTTCTGAAATCAACTCAGTCTGCCAACTGTTGCCGCACATACTCCAATGCTTCTCTGGCAAGCAGTACGCAGGTCAGGTGACACACAGCACGCCGCCCAGTAGAATCTGGAGGAACATTCTATTTCTTGTAATCCGCTACCCCTAGAAAGACAAAATACATTCACATTATACAAATCAAGATTCCTCCGTACATGCATCACACTCCTCTAAGAACAAAAAGTTTTACTTCTTCACACAGTTAACATTTCTACCTCAGCCAATGGACACACTCCTTCCACTTTCACAAGGCAAATTTTGTCATGATCACTACAAACAAACGGATACACAACTTACCAATTCAAATATGGGTATTGACACTCAAACAACAAGCTCCCTCTCTCACAGGCTCATACAAGAGCTCCTGACGTGTGCATGCCGCCCTAGGGAATGATTTCCCCTTCAATACTCTTTCACAAATTTTTGTACATAAACTGCATGTTTAATAACCTCTGCCTGTGTGACACAAACACAAATAAAATTCCAAGCAGAATACAACGTAATTTTATTATGTTCTACATAACTGGAGTAACATAACAGCAGTTCAGTTCAAATACTGGAAGGGAATAATGCTTGAAGCTTATAAGGTTAGATAAATAGCCAAACTCTTTCTTGTAGCCATATGAATGTTACTCCCTCATCCTGGCACTTGCTAAATTGAGGGCAAGTGTTTGAAAGATGCTGCTTTGCTTCACAGAAAGTTTATAAGAATAACTCAGAAATCTGACCAGAGTGGCAAGTATACATATACAATAAATCATCTCAAATCCTTAACAAACTCACAATTTAGCTACTGGTCACAACCTGTATGAATATATATAGATATATCATACCTGGAATAAAAACTTTCACTACAAAGTTATGAGAATAAAGTATAAAAATAATTTTTCACTTCTGGTGACTTTAAAGTTACTTGTCTTGCCGAAAGCTACCACAAACAATGTCTCAACTCCCTGCTAACATCCTTTAATCTCAAAATTACTCCAGTACTGCTACTGATAATGCCTTTATAGACAGTTCCAGGAAAGATCATATTTCTACTGAACCAGAAAAAAAATGTGCTCTCTGAGCATTACGCTCAACTTGTAATTATATATATATATAAAAAAAATAGAACCGATATCTAATTATCATAATTACAGGAAACGATTCGGTCTTATAAATACAGACACTATTAAAGAATTTACGACACACGTAAATAACGAAAACTGGGAGTCAGATTCAAAATTCAGCACAATCCCAAATATCTTCTTAAAATATTTTCAAGCAAGTTTCCCCATCAGAACAGAGAAAAACATGTTTGAAAATAATGAATGTCTACTTATAGACAAATTACATTACAAACGGCATTCTCTAAAATATTTTAAAAAGACATGTATAAACTTAATCTCAAACAACGTCCTTGCAGGTGAACAATTTGGTGATAGAAAAAATCTCTCAACTGATAAAGCGGTTCAATTTTACACATAAAATCTTAAATGCACTAAATAATAAAGTGCATGTTGGTGGAATATTTAGTCATCTTGCCAAAGAATTCGATTGTGTAAATCATCTGATAAACATATTTCTCGTATACTTACACAACGCATGTCAAGTTGAGACAGAGATCAATCTCTCGCAGACATGAGGTCCTTCATGATAACAGCCGATTTCCTGTTGTCATATCAGAGAGCCAGCAAAGTGTTTCTGCACATACTCCACTCTTTTCCTGGCAACCAGTAGTCAGGTCAGGTGACGCAGCCTTCAACCTCAGTAAAGTCCCATGGATCAATCAAGCTGCTTCTCCGCAGCTATCACCAGAAAAAAAATGCTATCACATTCAACATATCAAGTTCGCCCCACCCCAAAAAAGACAGAAACAACACTCTTATTACACAGTTGATCGAACACCTACTTGCAGTCTGGGGAGCACACCATTGCTAAACACGTATTACTTGACGCTGCAAGACGAACATACTGATATTCCTGTACATCGCACATTAGTGACGAGGAATCTTTCTCCAAAGGCTACGAATGTCTATCCTCATTCTGTTTCCTATGCCTATTGACAATGGAGCTTCAAATCTGTACTATTTTTATTGTGGCATTTGAGCACTTTGTTTTACACCAGTCTGTATTATTGCATTGTTGTACTGTTCCCTCTTATGAACACACAGTTATGTGGATCTAACTACGAGCTGCATTTTGTGGGCCAATTAATATGCTGTGTCTTGGAGAAATATTGGTCCCCAACATCCTATTTTGTGTCAGGTGGATAGCAACAAGGTGTTACAGGCCATTTAACAGCAGCCACTACTGTCACTAAAAACTCTGCAACTACTTCCCACACACACATCAGATGAGCCCCATTCAACTTCTGTTGCCACATATTTTACTTTCACTGTGCTTTAAAGCCTTTCTCCTTTCCACAAATATGGTGACATTCGAAATCTCAGCACCAGCAAATACAACATCAAAGTTACAAGCGGCACTGTAATGATAAATGGTGCCACATATTTTCTTGGACAGACTTAACTCTATTACATGACAAGCTCATCTAATACATCATACAGCTCATGTACTTACACAAAGCCCTTCATGATCACAGCAAATTTCCTGTAGTGGTACGAAATCAGCCGCACATACACAGAAGAAGGCAATGGCAAACCACTTCTGGATCATCTGCCAAGAGGTCGGTGAAGTTTGGTGGCCTGTGACGAAGTATGTGTGGCTTGTCAGCAGAGATATGTGGCCTACGATTCAAGGAAGCGTGACTTGTCAGTCGCCGGGCGTTGCTTTTCAGGACGCAGCATAAAACAACCAACCTATGCCACTCGTCAGGTAGCCAGCCACTGAAGCAGCCTAACCCGACTTACCTAAGACCGCGAGCAAGAAGCCTCCATAACAGAGCAGACCGCTGCAGACGAAGGATAGCCAAACGTAAGTCTCGAACTGAGCACGTAACCAGCGACGGACGTAGCCTACTCCAACCAATCTATGCACTTAAGCGTGTATGCTGCTTAGAACGCAGCCAACTATCAGAAAATTAAACACGCTACGATGTAGCTCGCTTGCCTCAAAAAAATTACAGATACCCTTAACCTACTTCACATGCAGCCTTAACCAACATACGACTCCCAGCTACTTGATGCCGACTGGGCTAGAGAACCTATTCACGTCAGCCGGTCGCCTACATTGGACGCACACTAAACTAACCAACCTATGCCACTTACGACTTTCGGTTTTGGACTTCGGGCTTTGGGTTCTGGGATTTCGGCTCTCGGCTTTTGGCTATTGCCTGTCGGCTTTGGGCTTTAGGCATTCTGCACTCCACTTTCAGCCTACGGCCTACCGGCTTCCGGCTTCGGGCCTCCAGCTTCCAGCGACAGGCTTCCGGCCTCCGGCCTCGGGCCTACGTCTTTAGGTTTCGGCCTACGGCCTACCGCCTTTGGGCTTTGGTCTTTGGAATTGGACTTTGGAATTTGATAAGAGATTCAACACATCTAGATACCCTTAACCTACTTCACATGCAGCCTTGACCAACATACGACTCCCAGCTGCTTGAAGC